TCACATGCAGAGAAAGGTTGTTTACATCTAGTAAATATAGTATTTTATTTATACACTGACAAACACACCAGGTGAGTTCTTTTATCTTTGAAGCACTTTTTTACAAAGAGGTAAGAAATTAGCTTCGGGCGTGTCATGTTAACCATTTCAGATAGAATCAAGATATTTTCAGGTATGATAGTTTGATGGCGTGCGATGTAAAAAAAGATATCTCAGATTTTTAGACCTTTTGTTCAGGGACAGGAAAAATACACTAAAGTAAAGTCTATGATCTCACAATTTTGGCGATAAAATCTAAACTACCTTTTGATAGAACATTTTGTGTTACATCTTTTAAGTTCCATATCAGCAGCCAATTGGGACCAGGGAGTTCTTGAAACCGAAAGTTTTACCCCCACATGAATGCTGCCGTTACATCATCTATGAGATCGTTGAACGCGAGTTCTAGAAAAAATGTGTTATTATATTTTGTATACTAGTTGTGCACAGAGACAGTGGTTTTGTGATTACATTGGAAGGCATTAACCGTCCTTCAATAAAACCAAATGAGAAACGGGCATGCCATTTTAAAATGAAAAATAAATCAAGTCAAACACGAAATGATGCTTCATGTCTTGGTTCACGCAAAGCCATTACAAAGTGACGGGTATAAAACCCAAACGGACTCCCTCATCACCGCGTTTAGTCCTTACTTTGACCGAGCCGCACACCTTCCGTACCAAGATGATGCTTAAAGCCGTCGTCCTCCTGGCCATCGTGGCTTTCGCCGCCGCCGTCCCAGGCACCAAATACTATCCAGCCCCAGACGGCAGTGGAAGAATCCTTTACTTCCCCAACGGCTACGTGAGCGGCAACTACGCAGGAGGTATCCCAGTGTCTGGCTATGGTGCTCTCCCAGCCTCCAGACCAGTCGTCGCTCCACGCAGAAGCTATGTCCGCCCCAGCTATTCCGGCTATGGTTACGGCAGACGCAGCTACGGTTACCGTCGTGGTGGACTTTACGGCTTGTACGGACGTCGCAGCTACGGTGGATATTATTAAAGGTATGGAATTTTGACTTCTTATTTAATTTTTTCCGCTTATTTTTTCTCATTCATTCTCGTCAACTGGTAATTTTGGGAACAGGGGCAATGATAGACATGTTTTTTTAACTCTTTTTCGTTAAGTCTCTGTTAACCTTATTTTAATGCAAGTTGAGCCTTTGATAACGTAAAAAGAACCCAAAATTCAAAAAGAAGTATATAGTTGCATCTATCAATTGTGATATCGTCGATACTATTGAGAAGATATAAAATAAAAATGGTTTTATAATTTTGCCATTCTAGCCGCAGTTAGATACAGCATCTACCAATAGTGCCACCAAGTCCCAACCTGTAGTTTTACCTGGGCTTTATTACCTGTTACCATGACAACATCTGCCGGACGCTACCAACAGCAAAGGGGTTATTTGCTTTTACGGCCAATCTGAGAATGAACTTTTTATGCTCTTGAGGTGGACTTTTGTGATCAACACCATTGATTTCACAGTAGAATCGCTTTACCTCTCTGTTTTTAATTTAAACCTGTTCAATAAAGCCTTTACTTTATATATGTTTTGCAGTCAGTTTTGTATTAAGGGTAACTTTTTTCTTTAAATTTCAACATATGAAGTATATGATTGATTGATGCCGGTAGACTCGAGCAACATTTTGATAGAAAACCCCCCAGTTACGGCCTGAGCTTTAAAAATCGTCAGCGTTTCAGTAGAAAAGTGTATAATCTTCAGTTTGGATGAGAGACAGTTATCCATCTTTCTTCAGAGTGCAGATGTCCGTGGAAAAATGACTGTCTTAAGATTTGACCCCCATTTGGCTTAACCGCCTTTTTCTATAAAAAAAAATAATATCTTGATTTGAGTACGTATACGTATTCGTGCATCGTGCTTAGAATGGTTTTATAAACATAATTGCTATTTTTATGGTGCATTACTTATAAAATCAATTTTACTAAATGACTCACATGCATTAAAACAAATGTTTTTGTAAAAAAACAAACAAAAAATAGTCTATAGCGTGACGACAATATTGAGGACAATTCGCAGACGATCCTTCCACTTTGCTACTTTGGAATGGTACTGCTTGTTACCTGTGACATAAAATAAGTTACCACGGCAACACAAAAATAAAACCTGCTTCTGATAAAACGCGGTTCAACTGCTGTCATACTTGTACGTTCCTGCTTTGTTTTTAACGTTGCAAAACTGAAAACAGTTGTTTCCCAGAGTTTGTAAGTACCCGGTAGATGTCAAGTCTGTATGCCTTCCTTCTCAATCTGAGCTATAGTCACGTCTCACAGCCGTGCTTCATCCTGTTTAAAGACACTTAATGTGTCTCTCTTCACCTGTGTATCTGCACGTGCCCGTCCCTGGTGCCCTTAATCAATTCGCTCCCTAACTACCAAACCGCAGTTTCATTTTGCTTTTTATTTGCTATCTTGAAATTAAAACCTGACTCAATGATTGGATTTTAGCGTGCTGTTTGTATATTATTACTACTTTGAGTGCCATTTTTGTAATTTGCATAATTTTACTACCAATCGCTATTTGAATGTATTTAAGGTTTAGTGTGAAGTTTTTTATTTGAAATGACACTGGTCACACTAAGTAATTGCAATAGTCGGATTCCCTGAATTATCACATTTTGTGGCAAAATGGTATGCCGGCCTATGTGCCTTCTGACAGGTGCCAGTGTCTAGCAATTTTGACACCTTGACTCAAGATTTTAATGTTCCGGCGTACCAAAACTAAAAAAAGTAGTGTCGTGAAATTTTCAGTATATATCAAAAACATAATTTTCCTAAAATATCCCCAAATGCCAAAGACTGTTGAAGTAACATAACTCTGATTTTTTTATTTATAGATTAATTAATTTATTATTATTAATATCTTTATTTTTAGCCACCCAATGTATTTTTCCAGCACAAGTGTGTTGAACTCTTTCCCTATCTTCTCTAACACAATCACTTTGGTAATGTCCGAAATAAAAAGTTAACCAGTGCTGCACACTGCAGTGTTAGTATGCATTTGCTATTTTACCAACATGGTATTTATGGTTAAAATGCAGGATGATAATGCAAGTTAGCTCAGTCTCGTAAAACCTGCTCTTAAGTTTTGTGGAAGAAGTCATTTGCACAACAATTTCGTTTTGCTTTTTCCTTCTGCTTTAATTTCTAAGACGCCATTCCCAGCCTCACCGAGTTTCAACTTTATTGTAAGAAGGCCAGCTCCACCTCACGCGGATTCTCGCACGTTCTCTCACCACCAACTACCCCCTCTGATATCAGGGACCTCCTAAAATACTAAATTACTGTTAGCGCCCCCTGTGAGCGGAGAAAGGTGACATGCTGGGTGATTTCCATGTAGAAAAATGATTTCCCGAAATTTCAGCAAATTCACCTTTAACACCGAGCAATGTTGCGCATGAGTTTTGTATTCACATGACATGAATTCAGGGTAATAATCGTCTTAATGCATTAATACATACAAGTTAAACCCCCCCCCCCAANGCTGGTTTAAGTGTATGTGGGAACCATGAAGCGTAGAATTAAAATATCGTAGCCCTGACATTAGAATTTTCACGCGATGTGAATATTACTTTTTTAAAAGCACGAAACCTTGTCTAGCTTCAAAAAGAATGACAGATATCAACTTTTTAGTTTTGAGCTTTTCGGAATAATTGTAGTGGTAAGTGTGTGAAAGGTGACGTGAGTTAAAGTAGATTTCGTCCTGTCTTTCCTGGACAAAAAACCACGGAAAACCCTGTTATGTAAAACGGAGAGAAGCAGCCCCGTTGTCGTTGATCACGTCAGCCGTATTTCTTGAATTCCGATTTTTACCTTTAACATTAGATCGCTCCTTTCTCTTAGCGCAGCTCGAGTAAAATAACCATGGTGATAATGAAAGCTGAGGTGTCGTACCTTCTTTTATGGTCGAGACAGCGCAATCACTCACGAATTAATAGCAGTGTCATCTGGAGGGGTTAGCATTTCTTTTCCATTTAAGAATAACACGCATTAAGATTTAGCACCAGAGAGAATGGTGAGGGAAGGAGACATCGCCGAAGATTCATTACTTCGTATTAAAGCATGACAGGGAGCACCAAAGGCAATGCATTTCATCACGAAGTTTAGTGGCAAAAAAAACGTGACTTTAGAGGGCAACACGCACCAAGACTCGGATAATTTAGCGTAACTCCTCTGTTACCATTAACTATCCACGCAGCGTGCTGGGTGTGTGGAAACCGTGTTTTTTTTTTAATTGTATATTTAAAAAAATCTTTTTCGTGTACGTCTTCATTCTTATTTGCATTATTGTGAGGGAAATGGATAATGAAAGAAGGCAATCCTAAAGACTAGTACTGGTTCATCTTTGTTGAGCTTGTTCAGCTGTAGCCGTTTTGTGATTACATGTACATCTTGGAACTTTTAAACTTTATTATGAGATCTTAACCTTTACGGTAGACTTCATCACCCTTAACAGTGTACTTAACTGTATATTACGAACAGACGGACAGCACCCATCATAATGAATTTTAAATCATCTCAAATAAAAAAACGAGTCTTAAGGAATGTAATTGCATGGCTTCTTCACATTAATAAAATATAAAAGAAAATGTTTTTTTACCTGCCTGTACAGCTCCGCGAAAATCACGCGACATCACCATAAGATGTCAGGTTAATAGTAGAAGGAAGATCATCTTTATGTAAATCCAGAGCGTTTAGAAGCCTGAGACACAATATACTATTTTTCTGAAATATATGGCAAATTCCATTTGTTTACTGAGTATTTTTAAAGATTTTTTCCCCCATGCAAATGTGCAATGAGAGCTGGTGATGGTTTCTCTGGTGACGGTTCATATATCTACGTGACGAAACACCACCCTCTGCGTCACGTGACTTACTTCTTTATTTTCCTCAGATGAATGCGCTGTATAGTTGTTGGAGTGAAACGGGTGAATTATTGACGCAATGCAATTTCCATTAAAATGGGTTTTGGTCGCGATATCGGTACTTTTCCTTTAAGGTTGCGTTCTTCGCCATAAATGAGACTCAAATCCAGGGCGATCTCTGGAATTTGCTAAAATTCATTCCTTTTAATATTTTTAAACATATGTTTGAGATCAGTTATAATCCATGCCTTCAGGAGTTTCCATCGCGGACACAAAATTTCAAAATTTCACGATTTTTTAACAGCTTCTCTGGTTTTAAGTGTGCTGAAGTTCGGTTTACTTGAGTCAAATCATAATAATCACTTATAGATTTCCATTTATTACGATTAAAAAATGGCAAGTTTTGTCGTTAACGGTGACACTTCATATTTTGAGATATTTTTTTCATTTTTCAAATGACTTTCCCATGCGTTTTGGGTATAATAAGATTTAAGATTACACACATAAACCACGGGGCGACTTCTTCATCATCACAGGTCTTACAGTGACTGTCTGTTTTCAGTTTCTCATTTAGAAGATGACTTTACCCTGATACTGGAGAAGTAGTAATGACCCTCCAAGCGTCTGTTGCCGTAGATTGTAGTCACAGTAAACATTCTGATCCAGCGGGAGTGGAGAGATGGCAGCGCTATTTTTTTTTAACAACAAACATTTTATATTATCACACTGTTTTCTTTTATTTTGAGATACACTAACCACTCTCCACTGTGCTGATAAAAAACGTACAATGACAACAATACCATCAAACTTTTTAACGCCCTGGTTTTCACTGAAGGACAACATTATATTTGGGCAATAACAATACAGAGGGGGGGTCGGGAGAGGATGAAATAATTTGACATCCCATGACTCTATTTGTACACAATTAATACTTCCCTTAATTTTTAAGGATATGCCTGTTCATTTCATTTGTAAATAATATTTTAATATTTCTACATATATTGAGTGTTAAAATATCACACACACTGAACGATGTCTGTTTGTCGATATTTTTCCTATTTCGCGGTGTTACTTTAGACATTTGTCAACAAAGAAAAATCATCTGAAGCTATTTTCATTCATAAAACATTGGTATCCATGGTTTCTTCTTAAAAAATGCCACAAAACACTTAAAGATTTAAGATTTGCTCACACAAATAAAAATATGTAATATTCGGTATTTTATTACATTTTATTTATGGACACGCTGTCAGTGTATTTTTGTAATAGAAAGACGCTCAACAATACCTTAAGAATGAGCAATTCATTTTCAGAATGGTGTGGTAAAGCCATGACCTTGCAATTTGCATATTTTATTTTATTTTTTATTTTATTTTATTATTATAATTATTATTTTATTTTATTTTTTTTTTTTTTGAAAGGAACCCCTGTTATCCACCGTGGTACATTGAAATGGTAAATAAAAACATAAACAACGTACGTTACCTTTTATGGTCACGTCATTGCGGTACTTGCCAGTACCTCGTTCAACGCCCTTTTTCCTAAATACTTAAAGACACAGATAGTTTTTATTACAATTCAAAATATGGAATGTCGTGTGCAGTTAGATTAAATCTGCTTTAAAACTGCCATATTGAATATTTGGACCTAAATAAAAAGACAATAACATTAGAAATTTCTTTCGGGTCTTCATCACGACAGTAGGAGTTTTTAAAATGTCAAGTAAATTTAAAAAAAGCTTCTTAAATTTTTCTTTTAATTTAAGTGGAGAAGGCTATGTTAAAATAGCACGTTATCAATGAAATGCCATCTAAACCCATCTAAAACTTGACTTTTTGCGATAATGTTCTCAAGAAGGCAACCCTACGTGGCCCGTAATATGCAAGCAAATTTTCTCTCTATTCATATGGTAGTGTCTGGGGTTAATAGTTTCTCACCAAAGCTTTCCTTTGGACTTTTTATCTGCCATTTCATAATAGTCTTATTAACCATGAAAGAGCAACTGACTTGACATTTTACCCAGAATTTTCTCCCAGTCATACGTTAACTAAAACTCAATGGTCACCAACACGCAAACCCGTCATAACCCGACGGGTATAAAACCCCGATTAAACGGCGTCTCATCACTGCGTCTAGTCCACAACTTGACCAAGCAGCACAAAAATCCGTTCCAAGATGATGCTTAAAGCCGTCGTCGTCCTCGCCATCGTGGCTTTCGCCGCCGCCGTCCCAGGCACCAAATACTACCCAGCCCCAGACGGCAGTGGAAGACTTCTCTACTTCCCCCGTGGCTACGTGAGCGGTGACTATAGAGGGGGTATTCCAGTCAATAACCTTGGTTACGGTGGCTACCGCGGTGGATACGGTGGATACAGTGGATACGGTGGATACGGAGTTGGCAGTTACGCCGGATATGGTTACGGCAAAGGCGTCTACGGATTGGGATATGGGCGTGGTCTTTATGGCCTCGGTTACTTGAACCGTGGATACGGCCTTAAGGGCTAAAGGTATGAACTTTTTGCCTACCTTTTATTTCTTTACCTCTATGTTCTGTTGCTTTTAACGTTCATTCTGTTACAAGAAATATACTAGAAGTTTCTTTTTGTAAGTATGCGACTTACATGATTTTTTTTCTGGAATTCTTAATGTCACCAGGTGATTTGTTATAACCAAGAGGTTTGTAAATTAGAGGTTAGAGAGTAGATTTTGCGTTCTATGTATTAGACAAGATGGAAAAGCCAGGTACCATTTTTAATTTTTTATTTCTCGACTTATGAGGATCTCAGACAAATATGAACAATACTGGAAAAATGAGCGATTGATTTTTTTTCTGATGTGGCGTCATTGAGGAGACGCTGTGCCTGTTCTTCTCTAACTTTCAACTTTTCTCAACAAACTTGTGTTGTAAGTTAACACATGCCTCCATTAGAAGTGATATGGAAAGTCGCGTGGAGTTAAGTTAAAGCTGTTTTAAAACGCAGTTACACTGTAACCAGATGTAGTGATGACCATTAGTGACTGGTCAGAAAAACAAAGTGAAAAGTAATTGTTAACAGGGAATACAATAACTTTCTTTCCTTTTTGACGGCTCATGCCTGTTGTTGAAATAAAAATAACTGATTCTTTTAGAATTTTCATAAAACTTTTCTTCGTCCATCTTGTCTAGATATCATTTAAGCCAATTCTTTGAATTTTGTCTGTCGATTTACCTTCCTCGATGTCTACATTCAGTTTAATCACTATTGGTATTTACCTATATTTGTTTATTTGACAAATACGTCAGGGAGAAAAATGTAAAAAAAGAGGAAAAGTAGGCAACATTAGTGTACATATATTATGTTTATGAAAACATTTTATCATAAATTCTTTTAATATGAAACAATCACAACATGGTGAAAGAATATAACCTGTTTGTGAGTTTTACACAGTATATAGAGATATCAGCATTCCTAATGAATATTCTAATATTTTTTTTGTTTTTTCAGCCTTCAGATGAGAGTGCCTCCGCCAATAGTAACGCCAGTTCCAACCTGTAGTTTAACCTAAGCTTTATCACCTGTTACCATGACAATATATGACGTCAACAACAACAACCCTGAGATCGTCGATAGAGGTCGCTTCATATAATAAACTGCATACTTGGTATTGAGGCGGCAGGTTTCATCATTCACTTAATACTGAATTTCCTGATTGTTTTAATGGACTTATGATCAATAAAATCCATTTATCATTCTGGATATTCCGCGGTCTGTTTTATTTCCCCCCTTTATATACGGCATTGCTACTCTGTGGGATGCAGTAATACTACAGGCCTGTGGCCAGCAATTCTAAAATGAAGTTCTCCTTCTGAGAAAGTGAACCATTTTACCCCTTATTCGTTCGCCTATTTTGGGAATTGACAGACCCAAGATAATTTTTTTTTATTCAGAGGGGAACAATTATTTACTATGTTTTTATTTATTTATTTATTATTATTTTTTTTTTTTTGACAAAATTCGATTCTCCGCTAACACAATGAAAAGAAACAACAAGACAACAAGAACTACTTTTAAACGCGCATTAATTTTTTTCAACAAGTATCTACTTTAAAATCTCCCATCCTTTCAGACACGTCTCATAGATAATTCTATTTAAAACATTAAGTTAAAGGCCGGAGACAGCACAAATAATATACTTTATGATTAAGAAAGCGATTAACTTAAAAAAATATTAGACAACGCAGATACTTGACTGATGAAGAGAGAGGAAAACTAAAAACTGGAGGAAAAATAACAAATACGCACGTTTATTCTATCCACAATAAATAGAACGCTCAGAGAAATTGACCGTTACATTTTCTTTGAGAAACATTTACTGGCTGACAATTCCCTTGAGTTTCTGAAATTAAGAAAAGGGGGAAATGTTTAGAAGATAAGAATGCTATAAAATTAAGATTCTTAAACTAAGCTGACTTTTTTTCTTGAAACAAAATCCTTCGCTACTGGCCTACGGCACTTTAATTATCAGATAGCGATCGTATTAAAAAATACTATTCATTATAATTTCAAAGCCACTAGAAAACCCAAGATAATAAGATAACAAAAATAAGACTAAAAAGATTACATTTCACTTTTTACAAGACAAATAATAATGATAATAATAATAAGCATATTGAAAACTTACCATCAGTTTGCTGAAAACATCCATGAAAGATGGGCGCACGCTTTCTGGGAGACCTGAAAAGATTTGACTTGTTTATTATTTAGGCCCATAACATTATTATTATTTTTTATTTCGAAGGAATGTTATATATCTCTTGTGAATGAAAATGAATACATATAAATATATATCATAGGCGCATGAAAGGCATTCGGAGATATTCATTTGTCCACACGAGATTAGAAATGAGGAAGCCATATAAAGGATCCCACAGAAAAGAATCCAGGAAGGGAGAAAAAAATGACATTAACAAAGAGAGAGGGAGAGAGAGATATTTCGTATTCCTATTCATATTCAGGCCCTTAGAGGAAGGGGACGGCGTTGATACAAAAGAGCCGCCATTTGATCCTGATTCAAAAATAATCTGATTGGGTTCTACATGTACCGGTATGCATTTTTCAAATTGGGTCAGGTACGGGTTAAAAGGTTTTTTTCAAGATAAACAACTCCCTTTGAAATTGCTGCCCCCAAACCTTACAAGAATACACGAAAATGTAGTCCCAGAATAGCTTTATGAGCATCATTACCAATAGTGAAGAATGTGGCAGTGAGCAAGATTCTATTGAATTCTTTACCACACGCCACAAAAATCATGCATGAACCGCATTCGGAACATTTCTGAAGGCATCATGAAAGCACTTACTCATGAGGACAGACTTGACTGTCTGAGGTCCCTGAGCCTGCAGATAGGTCACAGTGGCAGCCATGCCCTCCTCTGCCTTGGCTTCCAGACCGACGAAGAAGTCCTGTGTAGCCTGAGGGAGCGACGTGAATTCGGCAGACGTGAGATCAGCCTTCAACTTGGCGGCCATGTTCTTCAACCAGGCGTCGTACTTGGAGAGATCTTTAGACACGACCTGTGAATGAATTAGGGCGCATAGGCAAATGTTTTTTTAATTAAGTAGTGTTTTTAAGATTTTTTCAAATAATGGGAAAGTGTTCTTTGGATATGCGATGTTGGTGAAATCTTTGGCCACAACCATTATTGTGACGTGCAGTAGGGCCGAAAATAACATAGGCCCTACACTCATGGTAATATTTACGAGTTCTTTTCTGTAGGCTAATATAATTTGCTCAAGCCCAAACTCTTTAAATAGATAATCTTTTACTTAAGAGGAATCAATTTCACTCTGTGTCATCGAGATGTCTGACGTCACAAATCTGACCTATTTGTCCTTGTATAAATGTCACTCACGTCTTTCAATCCAGAGAGAGCTGCTTTAACCTTCTGTTGAAGGGCATCGGGAAGAGCTGGGAAATGAATACAATCCGTCAGGAAATCTGGTCTTGAGACTTATTTGTAATTCATAAATTTATCCTTTGCTTCAGATGTTTTACCATGAATTATTGCATATTTATGGTTATTAAGAGCAATCTACTATTGGGAATTTTGCACGGTTATTGATTTAAACTTTAACTTCTTGTATAAATTTACCCAAAGACGATCTGTCTTTTTTACAGTAAATCATAACGTCTAACCATCACACAACACCAGACCAGTCTAAGAACATTTCTACCAACATACCAGTATATCCAAATATATTAATTTTCAGTCATTGTACCCCAGCCCAACACGCATACTATTCCAGCCCTACTGACTTACTCTTTGCGTACTCAACGATCTTATTCTTTACGCTTTCGGTGAAGAACTCGGCGACCTTGTTGTTGTTCACGGCGTCCTTAAGTCCCTGGAAGAGAGCCTTGCCTTTGTCAGAGAGCTTCTGGTAGACGGGGTGGTTCTCGAAGTCCGAGATATGGCTGAGCAGAGAAGGGAGGTCGCGGCGGATGGCGGTAAGTTCCTCGTAGTCAGAGTAGACGTTTCTGAGGTGGTCCAGAGCGACGGCCTCGCTGGAAAATTTTACGTTTATTTGTTTAACTCAGGCTTAGAAGACAAAAGTAGGCCTATTTGTATCGTTTCACAAGATATACATACTTTCATATTTCAAATTTTACTTCATTGAAACTAAACATTTTATTGGGTTCTAGCACTTTCACTCTATAGAATAAAAGCATGAAAGAGCCAATGCCTTGCCTTAGCTATCAACAACTCTATGTCACATGGAGACACGGCATAGTGCAACCAAGCTGTGAGACCGCACCCATACGATTATTTCCTATGTGGGACTCTAGAAATCCTGCAGGACTCTACAGGACTCTAAAGAAATTCCACCGGACGACCTATTGGATTCCCATCTAGAATATATATATATGGATTTGGGCCAATTTACTTTAGGGCGTCCTATGGGAAAGTAAGCACATTTTCTCGAATGTGAAGTTTTGTTTACTTACGCGCCACGTTTTCCGAGAGCAGCAGTGGCTCCAGCGGTGATGAGGCCGGTTGCGATATTACTGAGCACATCCGGGGCAACTTCTACCACCTTGTTGAGGGTCTCCTTACCGATATCTCCGATGGCGCCAATGACAGCTGGGGCCACTTTGTCCTTAACGAGGTTGAAAGCGTCGGTGGCGACGTCGCCAATGCCCTTGCCTATACCTTCAAAGACGTCTTTCACGTCACCAATGAAATCGGCGTCGTTTGGCCGTACGGCCAATGCAATCACGGCGGCAACAAACAAGATCTTGAACATGATGGTTTCTGAAATTTTGGAATCAGTTATTTCAGAATCTATGCTCTGTTTAAATCTTAGGCTTGCGCATCAGCCATAGTCAGATTTCAGAAAAAAGATAATGGATGCCTGAGAGCCTTTATCAAGATGATGCTAAAATATGGTGTTTACCTATACACCTTGTTGACGTAAAACTTTGGAATGTTGGAATGAATTTTCTTAAATGTTCCAAACATCAAACCGTTCGATTCAAGGATAAGTAAGTCCTTATGAAAAGAACACCTACCTTCTGTTGGGGAGAGCTCTACGAAAGTGTTAAATGTAGCGATTTCATGGCTTATATACAGGACCAGATGATTAGGCCGCAATCGTGGGTTTCTCAGTCGACAGTCATGACCTGTGGATTATTGGGACTGCGCCCCAGTGACAATCCGCTTACACGTGCAACAACATGAAGTGAACACGATATGCGGTGCATTGCTTAGGGGCCATTCCCACACCCTATCGTACGAACTGTGGATCAATCTATGTCCGAGGGTATTGCAATCAAGTTACATGTCTGTCTTACTGAAGCTGCTAGGGGGTGATTAATTATCGTTTAGCAGCTTCAGTGGGCGTGCCAGATATCTATGCCGCCTAAGCTGAAAGCAATTTAGCGAGAAACCCTTCGGAGATGGGTCGATCCTGTTAGATCGATCTAGGTATGGGAACCCAGTCTTAGCATGCTTTATAATATTAAATATGTAATATACCCCTACCCTCAAGATAATGATAACGAAATGTGTCCATTTACCATGAGCGCCTTTATGAAACGATTCAACATACGATTATGCAAGTTTTCCCATCCGTAGATTCTATAATTCCGCGGTGTAGCCATATTAGTGAATAACAAAGGTAGCAAGGGGGGGGGGGGAGGGGTGTGTCCGGTTGTGACAAAAAAGTAAAATCCGGCTTCTCCATTTTAACATTTGAATGCTATTGGATACGTTTGCCAGTACACACCATGTTCTACAGCAGAGGTTCTTCAAACAACATCGGCGAAAACAATGTCATCAATTTATTAGGGACAAAAAAATCTAGAACGGGACTAGACAGCATAGGAGTCCGCTACGACAAGTGGTTTATAAACAACTCTTCTTGTCCTTGAGTATGTGCTAACTGAACTGTTTGTGTACCAGGAATATTTAGGGGTGAGAAATATGGTCCATCATTCAACTGAAAAAAAAAAAACAATTTTTGGCCAAGTTATCGAACGAGGAACCAAATATATTACATAAAACACAACTTAAGAAAAATTCAAATGTAAGAAAACAAAAATCAAATTCAATTCACCTGGATTAAATAGAATATAACGTTTGTAAAATGGCAAATATCAGAGACATCAACCCATGTATCGTGACGAAATTGAATATTACGATTGATGTGTGTATTATCATCCCTCGTGCGCGTTCCAGTTTGTGACCTTTCAAAAGCTAGAACAACGCACCTGTCTACTAATCGCCGCGTGAACTTTCCCACCTGAAGTAAAACAGGTTGCTCATACACAATCCCAAGTCGAGTTTTGGTCTAAAATACTACATTAGACCCCGACTTATTCAACAGCAGTTTATTTTTTTCAAACGAGCGCAAGTGGACTTGACTGCTGCACAAAAATACCAGTATTAATACTGCTATTCTTATCCTAATGAACTCAGATAGTCGGCTTTACAAAGTCAACTATTATGTCATGGCGACATCATCCGGTAAATAGCCTACTAAAACACTGTATTTGCGCTTTGCAGAGTGGTAGAATTAAACAGTTTCTGAATTATCAAATTATGGGGTGATTATAACTCGGCGAGGTGATACAGCCCCCCCTCCCCCCCGGGAAACTTGTTATGTTCCAAATCCATCACTTTGCTTTTTATTCACATACATCATATCCATACATTTTCCTGTTTTCAGTCGTTGTACGCGTAAAAATTCAATATTTATGGTAAAAGCTTCAGTTTCAGTAGCAATACTGACGCCTACGTAACGTGAACCGTCAAATCCTATCATTTCAGATCGAGAGCACTATATAATTTCCAGAATGTACAAATTAGGCCGATGCATACAAGTCTTTTCGAATCAATACCGTTATGGATTCCAATTACAGGTACACTTTTTAAAAAGCTACCATAACAATTGAACTGCAAATACTATTGTGGAAATTTCCAACAATATCCTATCCATTATCTTCATTTCTATACACGCATATCCGTCATACAACAAACCAACGTGTGGCAGGAACTGAGAACAAAATCTTTTTTATTCAATGCTGCTTTAATGCGCCTTTACTTATATTTTCCTGGATAATGACGCAGATAGCGAGTAAGCAGCAATCCATTAAGGTGCTGATACAGTTAGACCCTACATAGTATTGTATAGATGGACATTGCAGTGAAAATGTATCTGGGAATTTGGATAGTTTTTGCCTGCAATTGTGTGGCCGTGACAAGTGTCGGTGAGTAGGTTTTTTTTAATATCAAAACAGACGGAGAAAGACGGGTACGAAATTACTATCATTTCATAAATCTTAAATATTATATGGCATATTGTTGCATGTATGCCCTCAACGAATAATCGCCTCATGCCTGCAATTACTTTGTTTTAAAAAAGAGAAAAAGAAAACGGCGACGGTCATATTGAATTTTTACCACTTTTAATACAAAGTTGGTACTTGGAAGCTCGCTCCGGGATTATCCTTGTCTTTCAGAGGTCTTGGTTAAAACGTTCTTTTTTCACCCTGCGCTCTCTGTAGCCTTAAGTCAATATATAATCACGGCATATTTTTGACTTGAATCTTGTAAATATTCAGTAGTGCCAGTGCAAACAATCAAGAGAGCCAAGAAAGACGTCTCAGATGACTCTATTCTGTCACTTTATCTGATTTATTTAACAAAGCAAACACGCGTGGTGTAGATTTCTTTTTCGATTAAAAATGTATACAAATATTTAATGTGTAAATTACAATGTAGAGATTATGTGTTAATACAAAAATGTACATGTCAAGCCAAAGCCTTGTGAATGAAAGTGTCAGAATTGATAAAATAAATAGAACATGGATAGATAAATAATGGCAATATTTATACAATTATTATCGGGGTATTTATTTACTCTTAATTTCAAGTAAATGTTCAGTGGAGGAAAGGTAGCAGTGAGGAAAGGTAAAATATATCAAACCGCAACGGCAAGAAAATAACGAAAATCACTCCAATTTCAAAATATTTATTCACAAAAATACTTTCAGAAAAGCTATGTTTTTATTTCTTGAAATTAAATTAAAATTCAGTTTCTCCAGGATGAATTGTAGGGTTATTCCATTTTTGTTTGTACGCATTGCCACCAATGCACAAACCTTATTGAGTATAATCCACGGGCCTGATATAATTTAGACTGGTATTCTCATCCAACCAGATCACTAATTTTCATCCTTAACAATCCAGTGACAGCAGCATAGTTATACCTGCAATTTAATGCACATCCGAAAGGTATTTATTTCACTTAATGCGTTTCACTTTATTTGCGCTAATGGATTTTTTTTAATGTCACTTCATGTAAGACCGTGATGTGAACGCAGTGTTGTAAGTAGAAAGTCTTCTGGATGAATACTACAAATACGTATGTTTTATATGAAGTACCGATAGGCATCCGAAAGTCACAGTACAATGATGTGATATCAACGATGGATGAAGTTCCAAAGTGTTTGTCCAATGCCAGGAGCTTGGTTGTTCTAGATTGTTTGGAGCCAAAGAAACAGCATCATCATTGATTTTCATTTGTTTGCGACATTGGGTGGCTGCTGCTGAATCACTACACCAGAGAGAGCAAACAAACACCAGGATGCGGCTTTTTGTAAATCCAACCATCTAACTTTTGATTTAAACTACACCTGAAAATATTTATAGAGCTTTGTTTAGTCTAATGCAAGCAAAATACAATAGGATTTATTTCAAGCAGAATCACGTTCAACAAACAGGCAAATGTCTTTCCTTTTTGACTTTGGTAGAAGCAGACAATGGTAACGTTGAAACTCCTGATATTTACGTTCAACTATGCTTGTTAATTAATACGTCTTTTTTCAGCCCTTTCTGGACCTTTACCATTGCCATACGACTGGCTGAATTTTACCGGAAACATACTTACCATGGATACCCAAGAGCGCTTTAATATTGGGGAGCGCGTGCGGTATCACGTGGAAGCTCACGTGACAGCCGGAGATGGGTACGCAACTTCAGGTGAAAGCGCCGAATTTACGCAGCTTTGGTTTTCAGTGAACACTTCGGCATTCCTTAGCGTGAGTATAAGATTTTTTTCCTCACACGGGTGACATTTTGGGATCAATTTTCTTTAGTAAGTCTGGATTAGAAACTCTCTGGGTCAGGCCACTGGCCAGTTCGGTTGCTCTTCCCGGACTGAAGTGAACAAAATTTCAACAGGACTGTAGTCAGCAATTTGAAAAGGAGGGTTCCTTTTTCTGATAAAGTGGACCTTTTACTATGAAACCTTTGTGTGCTTAGTCTAAGTTAGTTCAAGGCAGATAAGCAGTTATCCACATTAAAGATTAATCTTTGGCCTGGGACTTTAGTCTTGTCTCTCTTGCTATAAAAATGGTGCGATGGGTCCACTGCTGATTTACAGATTTCCTGGGTCAAAGTTCAAGAGAAATTTGGTCTAAACTGATTCTGGTGAACAGTGTCCCACATGGTACATCTGCCATTCAGTACTGTTTCTAATAGTTTTCAGCTCAAATGGCAACAATAACATTCACAGCTCCCGACGACACAATTAATCAAACCTTGAACGTGAGTATTATATGATAAATATGTGTATTAAACTAATGCTATTATTTTTTAATTGAAATATACCCTGATGCCTCCTTCTTCATCTATACAAGTCCTACACTCTCCAGTACTTTGTAAAGAAAAAAGTATTTGAAGCTGGCGAATGTATTAAAACACGTTTGTCGTACTTTAAAATTGTTTTTGCATTAGGCCGATCCAGTGGTTGCATTCCCGTTTTGTTTATTTATTTATTGAAGAAGAAGGAGAAGAACAACAACAACAATGTATCCAACCCTTCCGACTTTCTTACATGTAAATGGGGACGAAAGACACTCTCAAAACTACAGAAAAGTTTTTCACTCACCTCAATTACGTTGCCTTGCAGGTGACAGGCGGTGAGACCGTGTTGGGGTTCAGAGCGCCGGAGACGAATGCATTCGCTGTTAGCAGCTACGATCTTAACAGAGTTCAAATTGTGGAATTTGACATCGAAACAAACGTAACAGGTGCTTGATAATTTAGAATTAATTCAAGTTTGCCTTGTTAGTATTTATTAACATCTGATTAGAAAAGAAAGCTCCTGAAATTGTGTTATGCCAGATATTTTGCAGTGGTCATGTTCTACATAAAACATGTATATCCAATGGACAAAATTTGACCCACCGTATATAGTTCTTTTACTCAAGTTCTAAAAAATTCATTAAGGTTTTTTAATTCTTTATGGTATCAAATATTGAAGTATATAACTTTATTCGTTTCGTTCGTGTAATTGACAATATATATGAAAAACATAATGACATTCAAATTATTATTTGTAAATTCATCTCTCGTTGCAGGTCCGATTGTTTTAGGCAAACAATTCTTCTTGAGTTTTGGTGTTTCGTATAATTCATACAGTGCCGCTTTCTCTTCAAACACGTCCTTCATATTTTATCCTGACGTCATCATGGCGGCATTGGATTCGACAGAGTTGGTTTCTGGAACTCCGTATTACGTCACAATCACCATCCCCAACATTCCTGCGTCTACAGTCAAACTGGCCATGGCGTTCACCCTCACACATGAGCCAGCATTGATCGGCAACTGGTCTTTGATCCAAGTTTACAATCTTGACGAACTTCAAACTAAAATATTCTCAGAAAATTTCCTGTCTCAAGGCTTTCAAACTCACTCAATAACCTTTGATTATAGTGTAACTACTTCAGTAGACATGTCCATCAATGTGGTCCTAATCTTGACCATCAACTCAGGTCTGACTGACTCTTGGTCAGGCAGGGCATGCCTTCAACTGGACAGCACTTTCGGCGATCACGTCCAAACACACCAGTTGCCGGTATCCTTAGGATCCCATGGGGCGCTGTATGTCCGAAAGGCTCAGACTGATGTTGACGTCATTGACGTGTGCCCCACCACACCTTATTTTGAAAACTGGGTCATCCGTGCTGAAACGGCCGGTATGTCTACAAATGGGACACAGCATTTTTTTCTGAAAGTTGAGATTCCCGATGATCTATATCCATATATCTGCCTTGGGGTTTCAAACGACTCGGTGGAAACAGGTTTTCTTCTCTGTGCCACAGACAAAGTGATTCAATCCTCGGCAGCTGCTACATCCATGCATTGTGCTAAGACAGTAACTCTCAATTTGACATTCACCCAATCCGGAATCACGTGTGAAGATCACGCGACTGACGTGAACCTCACTTTTGCACTGTACGTAGCGGATTATGCTGTAAACGTCACAGTGGGAGAAAATCTAGCTTTGATACTGGCGACTGGCGACTCCAACCTCCAGTTCAACGCGCACGTCCAAGATACGATTAATGACACCAGAGGAGGAATCAATATGGCGTTATTGCCATATGTTGTCGATAATGTAGCAGAAGGAGAAACAATTAATCATTCTCTGTCCATCGTATTTCCATCAGGACCTGTTTCTGTTCTTCTAGAAGTAGGGGTGTCCAACAACTCACTTGCCGTCGTCAACATTACAAATATCGCCGTCAGTTTTGGAGGAGCCATAAATGTGAAAAGTTCCGAAATTAAATTTCCGGACCACATAACTTATTATTTTTCCCCTACAAATGATACTTTTGATCGCGTGCAATTTACCCTGCCGTACATCTGCATCAGCGATAGTGCATCTGCTGTAGAAAGAGCATTGCACGTCGCCATAGCAACCACTGTGTTGACCAATAGCGGAGTTTCCATGGATATGTATTTTATATGGACCAAGGTTACATACGGGGCTGTACATAGAGTGACACAGACGCAGATCAGCACTGTAAATGTCTATCCCCGGAATAGCCACTTTCCTACAAGTGCGCCTATTACCGCCACAGCTCCCACGTCCAGCGAACAGAACCTAGTGACGTCAGCACCTGGTCTCGTCATGGACGACGGTGTTCCTCGCCTCTTCATGACCGTGACATTGATGACAGCTGGAACGCTGAAACAGGGGTAAAGTAAAGGTTGAAGCACACACCCCTACACACACACACACACACACACACACACACACACTGGGTAAATTAAATCACTTGCGTGAGTTTTCAAGCATCCACGTGTTTGTGTGTGTGTGTGTGTGTGTGTGTGTGTGTGATCAATATCCATTTTGCGGGGAGTTTACGATATGTTTTCTGTTTTGAAAGGTATCAATTTGGTGAAATTGTCAATAAGAAATATTCAATTTTTTGGGCCAACTTACGTTCCAAATAATTCTTGAAAGATTTATTTAATCCGACTCTCAGAAAGAATGCCTCTTTGTATAATAAACAAAAAAATACTGGTAAACATGTGCGCTTAAGTTTCCAGAAACGTTGGCGATATTTAAACTTGAGTCCTGAATATTCTTTTTCAGAAACACTGCAAGTTTGAATGTGACTTTCGGACACGTGACCGACTCTTTAAACTCCACGTCACCAACAGATGCGTACAACGTCACCATCACTTGTATATTTACGCCATACCTAACTTACATAAGACACCTTTATGACGTAGATGGGATGACAGTTTCTAACAGTACAGAATTCCTTTCGCTTAGTGTAAGTATTTAGTAACATGGTTAGTGAAATCATAACCTCTGTGACGAAACTTCATCAAAGAATTGAAAAAAGTTTCACATCTCCTTTAAGCACTTCATTTTTGGCGAATTTACATCCGGTCGATTTTGTCCAAAGGGCATTTTTGAATAAATAGTTGACGTAATTTCTATCAGAAATGGGATAAATGCTGTTCTCTCAGAAATATCTCAATTATCTTGTCTATTTCAGTTTGCAATATTTGAATATCCAAGAGTTATTAATAACCTCATATTAGAAATCAAGGTAGATTCAACGTATTCACTTGACCAGGCCCTCTTTGGAGCGGGATACCTCAGCGTTGGTCCTGTGATTTTGGAACACAGCGATCGTTATTCTAACAAATATGATCCAATCATCGGTTCCTATGAGTTCTTCATTGAGCGAGGTACGTAAAAAAAGTTCTGGGAGGCACGTGACGTCACCTTGACGACGTAAAGTTGGTTTGACGTCACAATAGCATTGATATGTTGCCGCGTGCTGTATGACATTATAACCGACCAATTTCAGATTTAATTCAGTCATGAATTCAGTCTAGAACAACGTCTCTTTAAATCCCTTGTATGTCGACAATGTACAAAGAAATTGGATTGTTTACTGGTACTTGCAAAACGTTTTCCATTAGTTCCAGAGATTGATAATGTTAGTAGAGCCTGCCGTATAGCTGGCATCCGGATTTAATTTATGACCAGTTTAAGGGGCTTTATAACTAGGCCTCAAGTCAAATACGTGCACTTCATTTTATATGTCAATAATTGGTTGGTGCTGCAAAGCGCGTATACATGTACTTCAACTGATGACGAGGAATGATAGTAAGTAGGGGGTGTTTACTATTAAAATTTATCGCACTTCCTCGTGCGCAGGATCTCTCTCTGAATGCAATCAGGTCGACAGATTGAGAAATAAAGTAGATGACAAAAATATTGGTGATTATACAAGTGCGTTCATTGTGAACACGCTCTAAGACACAATTTCTTTTTAATACTAGCCATTTTTGCTGTCATTGTCGTTTTCCTTTTTTATTTTTTCTCAACAGCAAGCTACCAGCCATTGGGCTGTTTCAGACATAACCGGCATCGCGCCTTCCCCGATCTTGTAGCCAACTACAGGGGGGTGTCTATCGACTGGCAAAATATGGCACACAGCTTTAATTCTATCATCAAATGGTGAGTGAAAAATAAGAAAGATTTCGGGTGGACATTGAAACGATTCTGTTAGTATAAAAACATATGAGTTTGTATCAAAAGAACAATCACTGTCAATAACCATTACCAAGCAGATGAAACTGTGTCAACATTCCAAATTTTAGAAAAATATTCAGTACAAAATATCCCAAATAATAACCAGCAGCACCGCCAAATACAGTAATACCTACAAACAGACGCAATGCACACGCGCGTCACGTGCATATGAATTCACGTTGAACACAATTTCAGGTGTGCTGAAGAGGTGGCAGCGAGGAGGACTTCCCATCCTCAGAGACAAGCATTTCTATCCTTCGGCATAAAGTTTTATGGCGAGTGTTGGTCAGGTGACCACGTCCCAGTCAGCTATTGGTTGAACCATGCGTCAAGCCACTGCGAGGTCTATGACGTAGGAGGAAGCAGGGATTCAATGTTTGTCTATAAACTGAGTATGTACCACAGTAGCCTTCTCCACGAAAACGAAAATATCCCGTTTTCATGGTTTGGAAGAATAGTTTTACTGAAATATGAGCGTAAATAACATTCCGTCTAAGTATGAGAATTGCTGTTCGAATTTTGCCATTTTAACGATTGTAGCCATTATATCCTACTTTCATTCTATGAGCACGATCTTCATTAACACTTCAAAATGACGCATCGCCTTCAGTTATTTTAGATAAATATCTCCGTAAAGTGTGATGCATGCATATGATCGTTTTTCAGACCATTCTAGAACCTGGCCACAGATCCCTGAGGTGGCAGCGTCGCAGAATTGCGCGTGCCGCTTTGATCCTACGTCAAATAACTGCGCGTGCTGTGACGTCACTGAGTGTCAGTGTGGACGTGTTAAACCAGGCAACTGTGCACGTTGTAATTATTTAGATTTCTGTGAAGTGGAAGACTTTAGTAAGTGTTGTATGTCTCGTACGTTTTATTCCACAGGCAGTTCAATTGTCGTAGAGTCTAATGGCTTCATGATGTCATCAAAATGACGTTTATCTACTTGGTTATTTTAACCTCTGGCGAGCATGTTAAGAGGCCATTTTACAGAACAACTTATTTAGATTCCGCTTTGAAAAGCGCACATTTTTAACCTTTTACTTAGGCCTACTTCTTTTAGATTTAAGAGTTATTTCCGCTGTTGCTGACTTTATTCGTTCAAACATTGTTTCGTACAGGTAGAAAGGAGTCTACTGTGGAGTTAAGTGATCAGGAATCCATCAGATGTACATCCGACGGTACAAGGTAATACATTACCTCCCTATTGGATTTGAATCTATTCTTATTACGGGGCGTATTAAATAGTACAAAATAAGGATGCATGTAAACAATACAGGTGTAAGCAAAATGCAAATTATGCTTCATCCAGCTGTGATGTTCAAAAGGAAAAAAAACTCGACACTCACGTAGACCTGCTAGATGTTATGCTGGGACTTAGATATTTCACGCTTTAGCACAAGGGCATTTTCGTTTCACATGAGTGTCTAGTAGGAGATATAATACATTTGCTTTTAGAGATGTAAACAGTTTGCGGGGTGATTAGTGTAAAATGTGACAAGTAATCGCATAATATATGCAACAAGTATGATGTGAATGGACTTGAACAGGTGTCAACTTTACGCGTCATATTAGGTCTTAGAACTGTAATCAATTGCACAATTATTTTGGTTTTCCCTGCAGTGCATGTGAGGATGTGCCATGTTGCAGCTACTTTTTCCCGCGGGCTGGGAGCCAAGTTATAGAAGGTAACACCACAGAATACAGATTAAATTACATGTACGTCGTGTTCCAGAGAGCTAATCGTTATCCAATGCATTTGTGTGTGTAGTGGTTGAAGAAACGTTGTTATTATTATTATTATTATTATTATTATTATTATTATTATTATTATTATTGAAGTACAAAGTAAACGAGTGTTTGTAGCGAATGAAGGGGTCGCTATAGTCTCCAAACAAGATAATCCGTCCCTAGTGACGCCATATTGGGTTTTTTCTCTCGTTCCCAGCTATTCCTGACCTGGACCGCGTCCTTGGCTACGACAGCGTGACAGGCACAGTGTATGGTAGTTATAGAGACGTGATTAAGGAGAGCCCGGATATACGGACGTGGTTCAGCGTGTCTCCAAATCGTCTGCTGTCTGCACAGGCACGAACCACTTGGAGAAACGCCATTAGTTGAAGCAAGGCAAAGGGAGTTTTTCCTTGTAAATTTCAGCGCTCTCTGTCATTCAAAAAGTAGACCTAAACCATATCCAAAACTGTTGACATAATCTCGATGTACATAGGATTTAGAGTTTAAGTTTGTGATGTATGAGTGACACGGAAATTAAGATGGGTGTACTTCACGTAACGGGAAAAAAATTAGACATAAAGAGATCTAAAACGTTTTTAAGACCAATTTTTTCGTCACCGGCGCATAGATGGGTTATATGTTAAAATGAAAAATTGCTAAAATATCTAGGATTATTTGTTTGTGGTGTCGTAACGTTTTCACTTTCAATTGACATAAAGTCCACTTGTGATATCAAATATGTAATATATCGTATATTTCTATTTTTATAGATATCAGTGTTACATTTGTTATATAGTCCTTATCTCCATTAAACCATGAAAGAAAAACGACTATTCAGTCATATAGACTTGAAAATGGGTTACAGCACCTTGGTTACATTGTATTTACAAACGTGAACTTCCAAATGGACGTCCAGAAATGAAGAATATAGACTCGACCTGTTTTAAGTGCAGTGACGTGTGATATATATAATAATAAATACTGAGTGTGGCATGCCAAAAAAAGTGATCGTGAAACAAAATGGTACATAAAACAGATATAATTACTTTTAAATATTTCCCATATACACGTAGGCCGAGGTTGAAGTTAGGAAACTGTACACAATTACATGTTTTAAATAAAGTATCCTGCAGTTATGAAACAGTCATGCGCGTTTTAATGAAATAGATATTCAGATTATTTAAAATGGTGGATTTTTACGTGCACTTTTGTATCATATATATAACGTTGTTTAATATAACTGTACTACACCAATGCTGGTCAACCATAGCTTATTTCAACAAATAAATCTGTAACTACGGATATTTCAAGGCTTTAAAAAGCATTCTATATATTAGCCCTGACAAGAAACTTGAAATGGGATAAGGTCATAAGACCTCCAGTCTATGCATTTGGATCTTCCAGAACAAAATAATCGTCATCTTCCTTGATTGCTCCATCTAAATCCCCATCCTTTTCTGGACAATCTGCTCGATAGGTGGCGTCTTGGTCACTGGGATGGATTCTGTCTACTACGTCAGCCGCCTGGCAGTAAAAACCCGCATCATTTTGATCACTTTCACTGCAAGATGATTGGGTACGACTTCCATCACCTGTCCTCTCGCTGATTTCGGTCAATCCAGAAACATCGCAGTTCTCGGGGTCTGGGGCTTCGTTGACAGAATCGTCGACAATACTGTTATTGTTTGGCTCAGAACCGGTTGCACTGCATCGCGCAGAATCCGAGTGATGATTGCTTCTCTCTCTGAGAGTCTCGCTTAACGGTTCTTTAGCGAAACGATAATAGCTTCTGCCAACAGAATCATCATCAGAATCAAATACAGCGGTGTTGGGACCCCAGTCCGCTGTACAAGTAGTAAGAGTGTGTGCATCCGTAGAATTCTGCACAGGGCGGGTAGGAGTGTGAACGATAGGAGGCACGTGAGGGCGTGCATCGGCTGAGACATTCAGGCGGGAATACGTGTCTTTTCCTTCACTTTCCGGCTGCCTTTGTTCAGTCCCAGCTGATATTTTCAAATGATCGTAGTCTCCATCAGCTACAACAGGCGTTTTTAAAGAATTTGACGCGTCTGAGACATCTTTGTTACAGTTGTCTAAAAGCGAGTCCGGAATGAGTTTGATATAGGTATAATAGTGGTCGCCATCTTGGGGGTCACTTGAAGCCTCTCTCCTGGTCGGCGGAACCCTGGCCAAGCTGTCGGCGCCAAGTGTGTTAGGTGTGACGTGCTCGGGTTCTTCTAACACGTATGAGTCCGACAGCGAGGAATTGCTTCTGTTTGGCGCGTCACGCTGGCCACGTTTTTCGTACGGGTTTGCCGCGCTGTGCACGTGCTCAGGGCCCATTGAAATATCCTAGGTAATACAAGATATTTTTTCCAAATTTAATTTAATTTAATTTAAATTAATTTTTGTATTCGTATAAAAATGAAAGATGTGTCTTTTAATGTTGGTTTCATTTCATGTACGCCCACCCACTTCACTCACATTCATTTGGAAAATTTGTGTTGGATAAATATATATTAATATTCTTGTATTTACCCATAACCACTTTTTGCTTTCACAGATACTTATTCACTCCTCACTTGAACTTTAATACTAAGGTTTCTCTTTAAAAAGCGAATAGCTCTTCTAACCGGGAAGGTGATAATTTATAACTATCAGGTTTCCAGTCTGGGTCGCGTTTTCTATTCATCCAGCTACAATCAGGGTGGCTACAATACAATTCAGTGAAAAGACCGGTGTTTACTTAAGAAGACTCACCTGGCTTTGTGGGCCATGACGGGAAATATGCGGACTTGTGCCTTTGTTATTCTTCCTGAATATAGATAAAACACATTGACTAAATGACAGAATCACCAGTTGTAAAATAATCTATTGAAGAGAGTGGCCCTAAAAGTAGCTGCAAGTAGGTTTACCTCTGTGTATGGAGTGTCTAAATATTATATGTTTTACTGCCTGTTTATGATAACGTCTTGTATGATTTTTAAAAAATGAGGCGTAACTCCCCTTGTCATCCCACCTTTTATCAAATTGAATTCAAAATCGAATTAAAAAAGTGATTTCGCGTATTTTTTTCTTACACAAACACGCATGCAGAGAGAGAATTCACTAAATAGTTCTTTATTCTTTTAAGGTGAGGGGGGATATAACATGTATCTAAACCGTACCTTCTCCTCCGCAAGAATACACCTAGCAGTACTGCCACAATGACCAGCAATACAACTGCGCCAATGATTTCCGCTACAAGGATGACGGTGTTAGAGCTGATGGGCTCGTCTTGCAAGTGATTGTTGGCGGTGGCAGCGGCGGTAGTGGTGGGATAAGTGGTGGGATGGGTTGCGGGATAATTATTGGGATAAGTGGTGGGATAAGTGGGTGGATTGGTTGAGGGAAAATCATTGGGATGTATGGTGGGATGAATGGTGGGAGAGTTGCTGGTAGGGGATGTATAAGCAATAAGACGTAACGGCTGGTTGTAGTCATCGCCCGCAGCATCGTCAAATAATATGTGTGAGTTTTCCTGTATTAAACTCAGTATTTCATTTGCAACTTTGTTATTACATGGTGTCATCCATATTTTCCCGTTATTCAAAGTTTTGGCACATGGTTGAATGTCGTCCCATGCTGGAGAAGGATTCGACTGTAAATTGTCTAATAATAAAAAGCAATATAATGTATTTGTCTATTTGATAGAGGTTCGAGGGCGTCAAAACTTGTACTGAATATAATAAAAATGATCAACATTTATAACTGAGAGTATTAAGAAACAAAATACCCATCGCTAGCAATAGTCGCATTTTCCTCTACTATTTCCGAGTACTCATCCCTGTTTTGTAAACTATGTATTTTGTAGTGACATATATGTAAAAAAATTGTATAGAGTAGAGAGCCAGTAAATGTAATTTGTACACATTTTAGTGCTCAACAAAGTATTATTATAAAAAATATTCGTGCCTAGAATTTATCGTAATCCAACGAAAAGGATCTGATTATAGATTCTATCCATATTGATTCTATCTACATCGGTTAAGGTTGCAGTTAGGTCGGCTCAAGTGCATTACAGGGGATGGGAGTAGGCAAAGTGTCTTTGGCAACAACATGTTAGTCCCTCAGTTAAGAAAATGGGTGGTATTTTCCTGTTTCATTGGTCAGTTGAAAATTACAAACCAATTATTTTCACAAACAGTATCTTATAATTTCCCGTTCCAAAATTGAGAACTTTCACACAATTATCCAAATAAATTCGGCATGAAATAACACCACTCCCATCGGTACGGTATTGAAAAGGTACCAACACTTCACTTTTTTAAAATTGCCAGGAAAAAGGTGGGTCTTACATAACTCTGTATATATGCCGCATGAAAAAATTCCCTTTACACTGCCACCTTTTGTAGGGGGGGGGGGGGTCTTAGTAAAACCTTTATGGTCGGAAATGTTCGCTCTCGATCTAATTTGATTTCCCCACAGGTTCTATTCCATCTATCAGGTTCGATTCGCTTAAAGGTAAAGAGGTCTTTCTTTAAAAAAAAAGAAGCTGGAGCACTCTTTGAAATCGCTTGCTATACAGACCAGTGAAGGAATTTTGAGCACAAGCCTTCTTTTACTCACCGTTTCTACACAATCTTTGGAGTGGTTCCATGTCCGTTTAATACTGCCTGATCCAATCTTAGGAGTTTTAACAAAAATCCCGGACCTGTGTCTGTGATGAAAATGCCCTTGCTGCCGAAGTGTACCGTAAGGTTACCACAAGTGTAACGTAGTGTGTTTTAATTTAAAAATCTAATATGTACAGAAAAATGCTGATCTTCCTCTTTTGTATATGGGAATCTATTCAATTTATACAAACAGCATATTTTATATCAAGACACGCCAGGAATGTATTGGTATCACCCATCATTGTGTTTCTCAATTCTCACCTACGCTCGTGCAGATGTGTAACATGCTATTTCGGGACTTTCTTTTATAAATTACTTCCTTCTTTCGAAGTGGAGACAAAGGATCATTGCAAATGTAAATCCCCGCTCGTGATGCAGGCTGCTTGCTTGCAATAACAAGACAGCAAAGCTTTCAAATGTACAGACAAGAAGCAGAAAACAATGATGCACAAAATGGGTTATTTGGCAATTTTGATGCAATAAAACATTATGCTTAACAGCAAAATCAACACCATATTTACATTTATTAATGCACCACATGTAACAGGAATATTAGGAATGAAACTGGCGTAAAGCTTCAGGCCCATGAGAGTTCAAATTCACACATTTAAAATGCCGGATGAAAAAAAATTAAAATTTCACGAAAAGAAATTAAGAAAAAGAAACTAATAACAATAAAACTAATAATAATAATAATAATAATAATAATAATAATACAGTCAAGCTGGTTTTCCAATTTGAACTGTATGTCAATACTAAGCCAAGAATCATTTGTGTGAGTTACAACACAATAAGTAACACCGTTTTCCTTTCATAGCGTGTGGTGGTAGTACACAAAAAATAGGAGTTCTATGTCAGTTATAGTGCATTATTACGTCATGGTTAACAGCATAATCACTACCAGTATTTAGTTATCTTCTTCAGTAACATGGATATTCAGAAAATGTAATTACCAAACGTCTTCATGAACGTGGGACTTCGAAGTCCCAAATTGAAAATGCCAATGTGTGAAAAATGAATTTCGCAATAAATAAATATAATAATAATAATAATAATAATAATAATAATATAGAAAAAATTTAGGATCAAGCCGAATGTCGAACTCGTATTTTATGAATATTCATCAGTTCTGTAAGTTTGAAGACAATTGGTCAACGGTTTTCCTCTTATCGTGTTATCTCTGAAAGTGCACGGCGACGACAGACGCAGGTGATGGGTGTGTTCAAACACAATGATATTTCATAACAGAAAATAAACATTTAGGTACTTATTAGTTACACTGATACTGATATCATACTTATTCTTTTTATATTCATGAGTTTTCTCCAAGTTACCAGCAATGGAAAATGAAAAACGATTCGGTTATAACAAAGTAGGAGAGTATTGAAACATATAGGGCAGAAGAAGCCTTTGTTTTATATATTCTGCTTGCAGTTATTTTGTCAGAGATTCTGTTATGTAGATATACCAGTTTCACTACGTTCAAATAAAGATGGATTATCGTTCTCA